TTTGCATTTGGTTATGGATGTTCGTTTCAAACATTAAATAAAAGTTACGGCTCAATAGCTCTATAAATGGATGCCGCTGGTTTACTTTTGTTTTGTACTAACCTAGCTAAACTATGGAAGTGTACTTTTAATGTAACGCAATAAAAAAACTGTGCGATAACATGATTATTTTTTTGCTGTAGTTTGATATGAGATAGCTTAAAGTTAAAATGGAATTTCTTTTTATAAACCTCTCTTCACAGAATAACGAGTTGTCTTAATTATGTGGTCTTTGGTAGTTCAAAAACTTCAGTTAAAAGTAAGCAGTGACATCGAGGTCAGTTTTCTTAGCATATTGTCATAACCAATTTCAGTATTTTTATCCTTGTTATTCTTAAATGTAAACTTACTATTTCTAGAGATAAATAAGTAATTAATTGCAATTTATCACAACAGACCCGCGGATTTTTTAAATAATATGTGAAACATCGTGATATAATACAGTTATTTGATTTTAATTTTAAAACTATTCTATTATGGAACGAACACGTGGAAATTTAAAAGGTAATGTTATGCTAAAAATATTTGCATATAATTGAGTGCGAAAACTCAATTATTATTTGGTTATAGACTGTATTGCATTGCGTGTAAGTCTTCTCAGTGGTAAAGCGTCATCGGGCTCAAGTAAATTAGGTGTATTAAATATGAGGGCAGATCAAAAGCTTTTGCAGGTAATTTTGTTTAAAAGCTTTAATTTAAATGGGAATTTGTACATTAAATCTAGTGCATCAAAATATGATAAAACGTTGGTATTTTTATTATTTTTTCGTTGCTATCAGTTCGAGTCATTTATGAATGAATAAAAGAAACATGCGACCTAATGATATCATTAGATTTATATTATTATTTTTGTTAGATAATCACTAGAAAATATTTTTAACGTACCATTGCATAGCAGGTTTGAAACCAGTTAAAATGAGAAGGAGATAACGTGACTTACAACTTTATTGAAGAGCGCCTGTCTAAAGGCCGGGGCCACACTTATAATTTTTAACCAGCGAGATTGGTTTTTCCGCTTTCACGTGCGACGCACATGGAACAGTTTGACCGTGGCCACACTCGTCTTACGAGATAGGGTTTTCGGGCTTAACCAGCGAGAATGGTAGAGCATGCCACACTGGCCAAAAAATTGTCCGTGTCCGTGATCCGCACTCCCCGCCCCCTCCACGCTCACTGTACAGTAAATCAGTCAGGGTAAAACTAGAAACATCCGTGGAAAAAGTTCAGCGAGATAAGATGAGTGTGTTCACTCCCATAAGCCGCAACGCCCCGCGACTAGTTTTTACGTGCAACGCCCGTGGAATGTTAGTAGAGAATACACGTGCAATTCCGTTTGTCAAACGCGTTCACGGACGTTTTGACTCTAGTGTGGCCTGCCCCATATACCGTAATGTATCTCTCAAACCCACGGGTAACGCCCGTGAAAAAAATTCAGCGAGATAAAATGAGTGTGGCCCCGGACTAGGGAGGTTCAGAGTAGAAAATTCTATAGAAGATATAACTAAAAAACATTCTGCTTTGTGAACCTGACTCGCAGCAGACTCTGGAGCGGTCCAGACATGTGATTATCTGCGTGTCAACCAAACAACGACTGAAGTGAGGTAATAATAATTGTTAATACTGTTACAGTAAAATAGGTTACATACCTTGTCATCAACAGTCAATAGTGCACTGTTTAGTGTTTACTACTAGCAGACAAACTGACAAACATCCGTACAAACATCCAAACATCAGTTTATTAGTGAATATTCTATTTTAGTGTACACTCGAAGCATAATGTTCTTTTAGGAAAGACCTAGAATTATCATTTCTCGATGTCAGATACAAAAGTAAGTGGTTCAATTGAATAGAAAAACTATACCATTTGATGTTAGGGTTAATAAACGAGTTGCACCTTGAGTATCACCATAAAACTTATGATCTACTGGGGACAATGAAGATGTGAACGCGTGTTTGGTGACTGAACACACCAAACACTACTGTGATGCGGGCTATGGCAATCCGCATCGATTGTACCGTATTAATTCAACGTCAATAATACAAATAGATAATACCCTTGTCACAGCAATCCTGAAGACTAATCTAATTTTCATTTACCTGATTTAATTGTCATTAAAATATTTCGTTGGATATCACACGAGTATTCAGGTACTAGCAGAGAACCCGTCCTTCGTACGGGGTGTGCATATAAGTATAAAATGCTTATTGCAGTTATGATCAAGCTTTAGTTTTCAATGGGGAGGACACAGTTTGATAAAATTTGCTTCTTTAAATTCACAGTACCCTATAGTATTACACATCTACCATAGTCATAAATGTTCTACCACTTCACCGTAAACAATCCTACTTTGACAGTTATCATCGCGTATCACAGTTTTTTATTGCTGCTTAGTTCAAATTAGCTGTTTTCATAAATTCAAAAAAATATTGTGCTGCACCCTGTTGGTAAATTTTATAACTTTTTAATGCTTTTACATATCATAGAACCAACTTTTTTATTTGAAACAGCTGACTAAAGTCTTTAATTCCCTTTTAATATAATTACTCATAAGGTTAACATGGGGAACTACAGAGCCACTGGGGCGGTGCCCGAAAGGATTTTTGAGATAAGAATATGCCTATATGTTAATCGGGAATGTGAGCTATCATCATACCAAATTTCAGCCCAATCCGTCCAGTAGTTAATGCGTGATTGAACTTCAAACAAACAAACAAACAAACAAATAAACACACAAAATTTCACATTTATAATATTAGTAAGTTAATGCGTTGGGCTCAATGAGTATCCATATACAGGGTGATTGATATAAGTGTGCCAGCCGTTTTATTCGAAAACCATAAGAGATATCAAAAAAAGTTAAATGGTAAGTGCCTTGGACTTTTTATTTAAAAATTTTTAGTTAAGTCGAAAAAATTATTTTATTCCCCACTTTTCCAATATGGCCGCCAACTTTGATTTTTCTTATGGAACACCCTGTATTTTATGATGTATTCTGGTAGAAAATGTAATTTTAAGACAATTTTATTCTTGTGATTATTTTCATAAACCTAACCGTTTCAAAGATAATAATGGTGTTAAAGTTTTGAAATTTCTGCATGAGAAAGAGTTTCGATAAAGGCCTAGCAAGGCAAGCTAAACAAGGTCATCTGTTTTATTCGAAAACCATTCAAAATTTCACAACTTAAACCATTATTATCTTTGAAACGGTTAGGTTTATGAAAAAATCACAAGAATAAAATCGTCTTAAAATTACATTTTCTACCAGAATAATTCATAAAATACAGGGTGTTCCATAAGAAAAATCAAAGTTGGCGGCCATATTGGAAAAATAACGGCTAAAATATTTTTTTTTACTTGACTAAAATTTTTTAAATAAAAAAGCCAAGGCACTTACCATTTAACTTTTTTGATATCTCTTATAGTTTTCGAATAAAACGGCTGGCACACTTATATCAATCACCCTGTATAGTATGGAATTTTCAACAATAAAGCATACGACAACGCTTTAAAATACAGTACTATTTTTTATTTTATTTTATTTTATACCACTGTTTACCACAAATACCAGAGCTCTACAAATTTGTATAGGAGAAATTGAAAAATGTATAACTCAAAGGACAAAGTGGTAAACCCCTATTTTTACCCTATCCATCCCGCCATTATGCCCCGTTTTCATGGTCCGGTCATGCTGGTTCACGAACTCGTTCGAATAATTGAAGTATTGGATACCAAATGTTATCCAAATCGGATGATTTTTGCTTAAGTTATCGATCTAGTGAACACACCTATATACACGCAAGCGCACATATATATTAATTTAAAATTATGGTGCTTTCGGACTCTAGGGACATCAAATTGGAAAAGTAAATCGGTTCCTGGTCTATATTTATCTTCAGAAATTTTTAGCCAAAATTCAGATATGTAAAACAAAATACCCCACCGCATAAATCTGCAGCCTTAACATTTGTTTTGTTTTTATTTCTTATTTAAATATCATTAATTTTTATGAATACTCAGGTTTGCTGCTACAGGGAAGAACATATGGAGGCTTTTATTGAAATATTGATACTTTAATATGAAGTAAACAACATTTCAAAATTCCGTTAAAATATGTTCATAGACAAGTAAGCTTTGTAGCTTGTATATATATATATATATACAGTTTATATATTCTCCATAAGAATAACATGGTAATTTTAAATTTAAATTTTTTTAAATGTATGTTTTCCGTAGTCGTTAGACATACAACAATGGTCTAATATACTAAATTATTAGTTTTTTTAGCAATGGTTTGGAAAGAAAGTGCACAATTTTGTTTACAGGGTGAAAATGGGAAAACTCCATTTTTACCCCATAAACCCCTGTTCCCATAAAGTTGATCATGCTGGTTCGCAAACTCGTTCGAATAAATCTAGGTTTATACGTTTATACCAAATTTCAGCAAAATCAGATCATTTTTGCTCGAGTTATCGTGCTAACGGGCACATTTGACTGTATATATATGAATTTGAACGAATGGTGTTTTTTGCCTCTGGGGACATATAAACGAAAAAATAAATCGGTCCCGGGTCCAGGTCTTACCATGAGACCTAAGGTAATAGTTTATTCCCTATATGGGAAATTCGCTAAAACGAGCTACATAATAGTTATCTGGTAAAGAAAATCATACCAAAATTTCATTTTGCATCCAATTGTCATTAATATGTCATATTACATATACTTAGGCTATTTTAATACTGCAAATTACCTATCACAATGTGAATAAATCAAAGTTACAAGGGAATATGCCTATTTTATCTAAATTTAATATATTTAGGTGAACAGACATTAATTACAAATAGCGACGGAGTTAATTAAAGAGAGTGGTCGGGGTTTATTGGAGGTTACTTGAGATAAACAGACGGAGAGTCAAGAGATTACAAGGAGGGTGACAAAGATGAGCGGGCTCTGAGGGACTTACCATTTACTTGATGGAGGACCAGGAGAAGCAGTAGGCACACATCCCTCACTGCAGCATCCTTCATGCTTGATGACTAGGTACACCACACAAACAATATGTAGCGTGACTCAGTTACAACGAATACATGTCTTCTACATGTCCAGAATATATCATGGACTTTTCTAGGCACATTACACTTGCGTCTTTATAAAAGGGTTACTTAAACATTGTTCAATTTTAAAATCAATTAAATCTCACATTATTCTGGATTAACTATTTCGGAAGATTGTTTAGCTTATTAATTAATTATTTTACAACTATATCTAGTCATTTAAACCGAAACAGGTTGTTCCAAATTAACTCTTCAGTGACTGATTAGGCAAGCATGATGTAAACATATTTTTGCCATATATCATATCAGTATGTCGGACACCATTATACCGCCGCGTTGTTTGTTCCTTCTCCGTGAACTTGACCGATAACACGCGGTTGTACACAACACTTGTCAACAGTATGTACACATGTCAACAACACGACGTCGCCACCCCGGCGAGCACCACACTCGCAGCCTGCGACGCTCGGCTTGTACTGAGAACTGATCATTTACCATCTGTCACCCCCTCCCGACGCCGCCGCCGCCGCCGCACGCGCCGGGCAAGTGCAAGGGTGATCTCTCATTCAAACCCCCCCGCCGCCCCCACAACACACAACCCCAGACTGGCTGTAACCGTCTGTAATAATTCTGTTAGTGATCACTGAAACTGAACGATTCCCCCTTTAGTTAGCTAGCTAGTTTATATCGATTTTTGCGGTAAAACCTCATCCCGAGATTCGGAGAACAAGTTAGGATGGATTGATAGAGAAGACAATCCGAACAAGCCCTTACGTTTAGATTTATTAATGTTTTTGCAATGAATCAAGGAAAAGGGTAAAAAATGTGTTTAAACACTAATTATGAGTTCGTATTGATTATTCTTAACACAGTTCAAATACATAGTTCAATGAATAATCTTGGATTTTATATTGCAACAATTGGCTAATTTCTAATTGAGAACCTTTATAAGCTTTAATCTCAACTTTCCGCTTACATTATTATATACATACACCTGACCAATACTAGTCTACTGTACTCAAACTACCCTATATTTTCATGTTTTTATTCCAAACGAGATTTGTATAATACAAGCTGTATATAAGTTGTATTTCCTCTATATGTATGAATACCTATAATAGGATTAACTTTAGTGGTTACAGTATAGTTCTCCTTATTTTGGTTCCAAAACATTTAAAACATTAGGAACCACCATTATTTTCAATTTACTGACATTTCGCCAGCAAAAGCCCTGATGATTGAATACCGTAGTTATTCTATAAAGTAATACATGGAATAATTCTTTGTTTAAATACTGTACCTCTAACTGTTAAGATATGTGATTAACTTATCTATCATTTAAAGAATTTTCCTCTATGTTTTTTTCTTTCTCTCAGCTGATGCAGTTTTGTATAATATGAGTTTGTAGATAAAAAAATAACAAAAATGTCTAAACCCAATTATTCTTTCCTCATCTTTAATTTCAACATGGTAGCAGAGCTTTGGTTTCGTTAATATAACAAACTGTTGATAGTGAAGTACTTATTTCTTTTTGTAACATATTATATTTACTGGAAAAGGCTAAATAATAATATGGAGTTTACAAAAGTGCAAATTGGACTTCTAAATGGAAAAGATAATTGGGCTACCTGGAAGTTCAAGATTAGTATTCTGCTGAGGAGTCAGTCTGGAGTAATGGATGTCATAGAGGGAAATCTACAAGCACCTACACAGAAAGAAGATCCGTCAACAGCAGAGGTAGCTGAGTATGAGTCATATTTAGATAAGTTCAGGAAGGCTGACAGTACAGCTATGATAATTATTACCACCAATCTGTCAGATGAAACCCTAGAAAAAGTAATTCGTTTTACAAATGCAAGAGAGATGTGGCTAGAGCTGCATAGGTTGTTTGATGGGGTGTCTGAGGACAAAGCCTACGAAATATGTCAAGAATTTTTCAGTTTCAATCGGGATCCTAGCATTGATATTTCTGGTAACCTATCTAAGCTTAAGAACTTATGGAATAGTTTGAAACTTGAAATATCTAAAGAAGGGGACAACAAATTTGTTTTACCAGATTTGTTTTTGATCTGTAAAATCTTGGGAATGCTTCCTGAGGACTATTTTGCGTTCAAGTCTAGTTGGATGATGATGGCAAAGTCTGAAAGGACTATTAAAAACCTAACCACTCAACTGTGTGCATACGAAAAAGCATTAGGGCGTAACTTTCAGGGTCAAGAAGCGTTATGGGTAAAATCGGAATCTAGAACCAAAAACAAAGCTAGTTTAGAAACTAAGGGAACTAATAAGAAAGTCACATGTCATTATTGTCAAAAGATAGGACACAAAGTTAGGCAGTGTACAAAGTGGAAAGCAGATGGGAGGCCGCCTAAACCACCCACTTCCAAAGTAACAGAGGATAGTAAACCTAGTTCAAATATGACTTTGTCGATTGATGTAATGATGACTGAAAACAACAGTGACTGTTGGTATGTAGACAACGGTGCCACTAATCATGTCACGCATAGAGGAGACTTGTTTCAGAAGTTTCAGCCGTTCGTCAACCAGGAGTCAGTGATGGCAGCCAATGGAGAGTCCATCAACGCGCTGGGAAAAGGAACCATTGAACTTGATGTGGAGGTAAATGGGAAGCCTAAGAGAGTCACACTAGAGAACGTGTGGTATGTACCGGGAATAAAAAGGAATTTATTTTCAGTACTTGCATCTCAGGACTTGCATTTACAAAGTCGGTTCACGTCAACAACGGAAACATGTCAACTTGAGGTGAATGGAGAAGTTGTCTTGGTGGGTTACCGATGCAGAAAAGGAGGTCTGTATAAGCTGAAGGTCCAAAATGTAAAACCAAGCGAACCTATCGAAGTAAACTTACTAATCAACAATGACAATCTTCTACAGGTGTATCATGAGCGGATGGGGCATCAAAACACGAAACATGTGAAAGCGACCATTGAGAGAGAGCTGGGAATAAAACTAACTGGGGATAAAGAGTTATGTGAAGGCTGCGTCTATGGAAAGAGTCACAGGTTGAAATTTGGCACTAGAGAACGAGCCACAACACCTGGGGAACGAATTCATACGGACGTGTGTGGACCTTTCCAGTCTTCAATGTCAGGCTACAAGTACTATGTTTTGTTTAAAGATGACTATTCTAGGTATCGACATGTTCACTTTATGAAGGAGAAATCGGAAGTTTCTGAAAAACTTAAACTATTTCTGGCAGCAGCTAAAACTACTGGACATGTAGTTAAAGAAATGGTGAGTGACAATGGTGGAGAGTTTGATAACGGCGTAGTTAAGAGTATGTTGCAGAACAGAGGAATCAAGCACACCCTGACGATGCCCTACACACCGGAGCAGAACGGTTGCAGCGAGAGGGAAAATCGAACAATCGTGGAAACAGCTCGTGCTATGATGCACAGCCATGAGTCCCTTCCACAAGGCTTATGGGCAGAACTGATCAACTGTGCTGCTTACATCCTCAATCGCACCGGCCCTTCTTCAGAAGCTGACAAAACCCCATACGAACTATGGCTTGGAAAAAGACCTAGTATCAAGCATCTAAGGATAATCGGAAGTGTCTGTTATCCGCATGTCCCAAAACAAAAGAGGAAAAAGATGCAGAAGAAAGCACAGAAAGGAATACTTGTTGGGTACGATGAATGTGGCTATCGTATCTGGGTTAAAGAAACCAACACACTGGTGAGATCGAGAGATGTCATTTTCAACGAAGAGCCCTTATTACAGAGAAAAGAATACCGAATCCCTTTGCCAAGTGAAATAAGTCAAGAAAACGACTGCCGAGGCTTAGAATACGACGTTGAAGATAACGTGGGGCAAGAACCGGAAGAAAATGAAGACGAGGAGGAAGCTGACTTACCTGAGAGATCGAACAGTTATGATCTACGAAACAGATCAGAAATCAATGTTCCGAAGAGGTTCGACGACTACATCATGACTGCAGTTACTAATGTTCAAGAACTGAATGAGCCTGAGTCATACAAGGAGGCAATACGAAGTGAAAAAGCTTCCTACTGGAAAGAAGCTATGGAAAGTGAAATGAAGTCGCACAAGGAAAACCAAACTTGGACCCTGGAGAAACTACCTGCAGGAAAGAAATGTATAACATGCAAGTGGTTATACAAAGTAAAGACTAATCCTGACGGCTCAGTTGACAGGTTTAAAGCAAGGTTGGTGGTTAGAGGTTTCTCGCAGAAGAAAGGAGTGGACTTCAACCAGACTTTCAGCCCAGTAGCAAGACTCAGCACAATCAGATCCCTACTAAGTGTAGCAGCAGTGGAACATTTGATTTTGACACAATTCGATGTATCAACCGCATTCTTATACGGCCAAGTGGATGAAGTTATTTACATGACGCAGCCTGAAGGATACAAGGATGGTACAGATCGTGTGTGTAGGCTGAACAAGAGTCTCTACGGTTTGAAACAGGCGCCTCGCTGTTGGAGTACCAGATTCAACAAATTCATGGAACTTCAAGGATTCAAGAAAAGTGATGCTGATCCGTGTCTGTTCATGAAAGAAGATGGAAAAAGTAAACTGATTGTAGCGCTGTACGTAGATGACGGGCTTATAGCGACAAACAACACAGGAATGCTTCAGAACTTCATGGATCATCTGACGAAGGAGTTCAAAATCACATCCAAACCAGCATCTTTCTATTTAGGCCTAGAAATAGAACAGAAAAGTGACGGAAATGTTAGAATATCGCAGAAAGCGTATACAAAGAAAATTCTTGAACGCTTTCAGATGAGTGACTGTAAACCAGCTCCAACACCTATCGTGAAAGAGAACGAAACGCAACCAGCAGGGAAAGCAGAGAGCTCAAGAGACAAGTTTTCATACAGAGAAGCTGTAGGTGCTCTGATGTACCTGATGACTGCAACTAGGCCAGATATAGCCTATGCTGTGAGTAAAGCATCGCGTACTCTTGAAAACCCGTCTCACGAAGACTTCATAAGGGTGAAGAGGATACTGCGATATCTGAAAGGAACGATCGACTACGGAATAGAATACCAGTCCAAAGAAAACAACCATGTTTTGGAGTGCTTCAGCGATGCTGACCATGCTGGAGACTCATCGACCGGACATTCTACAACAGGAGTAGTCTGCAATTTTGGAGGAGGAGTAATCGCCTGGCTTAGTCAGAAACAATCGAGTGTGGCAATCTCAAGCACTGAAGCCGAAATTGTTGCGGCCAGTGAAGCCTGTCGTGAAATCGTTTGGCTGAAAAGACTTTTGGAAGAGATAACTTCACTGAAGA